GGTAGATGATGAGCCATGATCATATTGAATGATGGGGCAGATTTGAAAAGCTGAATGGCGTTCTGATGCTTCTAGATTCTATGTTTCTACATTCAATATACTACCCCCAACACCACAGGCACTTATTTTGTTAAGTAGTTCAACGTATGATATTTTCAAATGCCTTCTAGAAATCCAAATATTTTACATCCATTGCATACCCTTTATCTGCTTATCTCTCCAAAGAATTCTAAAGAATTCGTAAGGTATGATTTTCACTGCATGATTATGTTATATACTTCTAAATGCTCTGCTATTCCATTCTTCATAATATACAATTAACATTTTCCCAGAAACAGATAACTGGCCTACAGTTTCCCTTCTTGAATAAAAGGTGTTATGTTGGCAGCTTTCCAATCTTGCGTTATTTTTCCAGAATCTAAAGAACCTTGGAAGATTACTACTAGTGCATCTACTATTTCTGGCTGCTTCCTTTAATATCATAGGATGCATCCCATAATGTCCAAGAGATTTATTGTCTTTAGTCCCTTTAGTTTCCATACTATTTTTTTCTGTAGCAACAGTTACTATATTTATTTATTCTCCTCATTATGCCCCTTGAATATTTAGTATTTTTGGAATGCTATTAGTGTCTTAGTGTATAGACCGATGCAAAGTATTTAATCAACTCCTCTGCCATTTCCAGGCTCCCCTTTATTATTTGCCCAGCCTAAGGGGACTCTGTTCACTTTGTTCTCTCCCTTCCTTTTCATATATATATTTTCATGTTTCCTCTCTTTTTTTCTTTGTCATCTTTTGTTTTTTAAAACATTCCCAATTGTCTGACCTGCCAGTAAACTTTGGCACACTTTTTTTTCTTCAATTAGATGCTATCCTTAACATCCCTGGTTGGTTTATCTACTTGCTAGAATCCTTTTTTCTGAGATTTTTTTTGTGAGCCAGTAACTATTTTCTTAAACACCTGCCATTGTTCTTCAATTATCTTCTCTTAAACTGAATGCTAAATTCTACCATGATAATGGTCTCTGTATTCTAGGAAATCTTTTAGTCTGATATAATTTATTAAATTTGTTTCTACATATCACCAGATCTAAAATAGCCTGATCTCTGGCTGGATACACTATATATTGTTCTGGAAAATGTCCTGAATATGCTCTATAAATTCTCCCTCATGGCTACCTTGATCAATTTAACATTCTCAATCTATGTGAAGATTAAAGTCACCCATGATTAATGTATTGTCTTTTGACATGCCCTCATTGTCTCCTGATTTATTCTCTGTCCTACCATATTGTTAGTTAGGTGGCCTATACACTATTCCCATCAGTGTCATCTTCCCCATGTTATTTCTTCTTTCCATCAATTTGCATTCTACATCTTCAGACCCAAGATAATCCCTTGCTTTTGTACTTACTCTGTCGTGTGTTAATAAAACTACTCCAACATTTTTCTTTCCTGCATGTCTTTTTGTAAATTCACATATCCTGAATATTTAGTTTTCAGTTTTGATCTTTGCGAAGTTGTCCATCTATTTTTTCCCCAACCATTATTGAATTGTGTTAAAAGAACCCCATTTGTTTATCACCCTTAAATAATGGGACCCACTGTGATATATTTGCACAACAGACATAAAACAAAGCAGAACACATAGAAATTCAAACCCCGACAATTTATTCTGCCATACACAAATGACTATGTGAAAGTGTTACTCAAAGCCCAACTATCCATGATATTCCTTTGATTCTTCCTGACTTCCTTTTTCTTCATGAACCTCTTAGAGTAAAACTTTGATCTATATGAACAAATCTAATCTTTCCATTACCAAACATCTTGACTAAATTGTGTGAGGACCACATCTTTTTCATGACTCTTCCCGTTAGCCATTACACCCACATATGATGTTTCAATTTAACTAAATTTGAGTTCAACTTCGGACTTCCTTCTTTTATGTCGTGACTCTTTCTGTCTGTGTTCTTATTCATCAACTGACTGTTCCAAATATTGCTTCAGAAATGAAAACATTGTTCTCGGCTGTCTTCTAAGAAGCAATTAAGCTGGCGTTCAGCCGGTAATGGTGCAAGTTGTGTTACGATAAATGAATCACAAACTGGCAAATGTTTTGTTTCATGACATCTGAAGTTTATTTCAATTTGTATCTAACATTTGCTTTAACAACTGCAAGCTTAACAATTTACACTGCACACTCTGCTGCTCCATTTGAAGCGGAATGAAATGGTGCTACTCTATAGGATTTCCATGAAATTTGTTCTTTTTTAAACAAACATGAGATCCACTGATGGACACAATGTAATCTGGCAGCCTATAGCAGCAATTGGACTATGCAAAATACCTGAAGTTTGAGTTGTTTTCGATTAATCAGAAATCTAGTAACCACTTTGGCTACCTATTGCAATGAACAGCTGTTGCCCCTGCAAATTCTGTGAAATCAACATGATGTCTCTACCACACTCTAGCTGGCAATTTCCACAATTGCAAAGGCACCAGTGACAGTTTTTCTATAGCTGGACATATTCTGTGCTGTGTCTTCTATACCATTCTTGACCACTGACGATAGCTTCTCACTAGATTTGTTTCCAAATTCATACCCGAGCATTATCATGAAGATTACACAACAATTTCAGTCTTTATCTTTCAGGGGTCATGACACTGACCTACTACATAAAATAATGTTTTTATCCACGGATAAGTTATTCTTACAAAAAGAACATGCTTGATTTCAAAATCCAGAATCTATGCTGGTGCCATGACTGATGTGTTGTACATTATTGTCAATTTGGGATCCCTATGATTTGTTCTACAGATATCATCTGCTGTGTCTGGTAGCTCATTTGTGGGAGAGAAGAAATGTGCAAACTGTTGGGCTTTACCTATAATGGGATGGTAATGTAGACATCACATCATTAAAAGGATCTTCTGACCATATGTATTTAATGTCATATTTATAAGCAGACAACATTAAAGTCTGCAGTTCTTTCTTATGAAATTGATGTCTGTCTCTGCATTTGAACTGCACTGAATTCAAAATAGTTGTCAATGCTTACAATCAGTTTTGATTGTGAAATGACGACCATACGATATTCGTGAAGCTGTTTTATTGAAAAAAAATCAAAGGCAAGGCTTCATGTTCCATCTGTGCATAATTTTGTTCACTGATACTGAGGGTGCTATTATAACCATTATTATTAGCTCTTGTGCGTGGGAAATCATGTCTCCCTAACTTGAGTTTTTTGAAGAAGTAACAAAAAGGATTGATAAGGGCAGAATGGTGGGCGTGATCTACGTGGATTTGAGTAAAGCATTTGACAAGGTTCCTCATGGTAGACTGGTTAGCAAGGTTAGATCACATGGAATACAGGGAGAACTAGTCATTTACATACAGAACTGGCTGGAAGGTAGAAGGCAGAAGGTGGTGATGGAGGGTTGCTTTTCAGACTGAGGCCTGTGACCAGCAGTGTGCGACAAGAATTAGTGCTGGGTCCAGTGCTTTCTGTCATTTATATAAATGATTTGGATGTGAACATAGGACATGTGGTTAGTAAGTTTACAGAAGACACCAAAATTGGAGGCGTAGTGGACAGCGAAGAAGGTTATCTCAGAATACAATGGGATCTTGATCAGATGGGCCAATGGGCCGAGAAGTGGCAGCTGGAGTTTAATTAAGATAAGTGTGAGGTGCTGCATTTTGGAAAGGCAAATCAGGGCAAGACTTATATGCTTAATGGTAAAGACCTGGGGAGTGTTGCTGACCAAAGAGACCTGGGAGTGCACGTAGACGGGACAGTAAAGAAGGCATTTGGTACGCTTGCCTTTGTTGGTTAGTGCATTGATTATAGGAGTTTGGAGGTCATGTCGCAGCTGTACAGGACATTGATTAGGCCACTTTTGGAATACTGCATTCAGTTGTGGTCTCCCTGCTATAAGAACGATGTTGTGAAACTTGAAAGGGTTCAGAAAAGATTTACAAGGGTGTGCCAGGGTTGGAGGGTTTGAGCTATAGGGAGAGGCTGAATGGGCTAGGGGCTATTTTCCCTGGAGTGTCGGATGCTGAAGGGTGACCTCATAGAGGTTTGTAAAATCATGATGGACATGGATAGGGTAAATAAATAAATAATGTCTTTTCTCCAGAGTAGGGGAGTGCAAAACTGGAAGGCATAGGTTTAAGGTGAGAGGGGAAAGATTTAAGAGAGACCTAAGGGACAATTTTTTCACACAGAGGGAGGTGCGTGTAGGGAGGATAGTACAATACGACATTTAAAAGGCATCTAGAAAGGTATATGAATAGGAAGGGTTTAGGGGGATATGAGCCAAATGCTGGCAAATGAGACTAGATTAATTTAGGATATCTGGTCAGCATGTGTGAATTGGACCAAAGGGTCTGTTTCTGTACTGTGCATCTCTCTGACTGTGTTAAGTCACTTATTTGGTTGGTAGATTAAAAAGCTAATTTAATAATTTGAAGGCGGATTAAATTTTCTTTCCATTCAAAACCGTCTTCTGGACAGTTCAGTGACAACTGTGCTTCCATTCCTCTTTACACTTTTAGGTAACACGACACTGTACAGCCAAGTATTTTTGGCCAGGGGATTGTTTGCCAAAACAGGAATGATTTTATCGTTCCAAAACATGATGTTAACACTCCACGAACGCCTGTCACAATGTTTACTTAGCGAGAGTTTATTTTTAATAAGGTATTTGAAGAATTGCAGAAGCAAACAAAGTCGGGAGAACTGAATCAGTCATTACAGTGAACAACGTACAATAAGCTCTCTTATTTTTAAAATTAGAAGTTTCGAACTACCTGGGGTTTATAAATAAGAGTTTAACGATTGCTACCTTCTGGGTATGAGCTGGTTACAAAGGCGGATTTATGCCTGGGCCCCGTTGCTAGGGGCAGCGACTCGGCGGCCTTGCCTCCAGAGGCCGAGCCTGTGCCTTGACCGCAGTGCCCGGCCGTCCGTTAACCCGCAATCCCGGGCGCCTCTGAGTGTCAGCAGCGGAAATCTGAGGGGAAGCTACTCCATTCTGGGCTGGTCGATTGATTCGCGTCAAAGAGCGGCGGCGGCGGCAGCGCCTCCTACTTCGCCCTTCAACTGCCGCTCTGCTTCTCAGTCGTCACGCTCCTCCGGTTGAGACAAGATGTCTGACCCCAACTCCGTCCCCATCACAGCCAAGAAGCTGCGACCCAGGCTTCACGGCAGAAGCAGCCTCCAAAACGCTGAACCCGCAGGTGATAGTCCCTCAGGTAAAGAGAAAAAGTGTATTTCTTCTTGAATCAGCAGCGGTAATCATTTTCCTGTTGGCTTAATTGTATTGTTGCTTAACACATTCCCATTTAAAAAAAAAATTCCAGCTCTTTCCTTTATTGAAAATACTTTTTATTCTGCATAATTCAACAGAATTTAGTCTTGGCCGTAGAATAGTGGAAACTGGTTTGTTTCTAGATCCGCTGATGATCGTGTTTGTTCATATGTAGTGTTCGGAACCTTATCAACAAAATGTAGACCTTGGTCGGTAATTGAGGATGTAGTGTACATTAAAACACTTGTTCATGTTATTGTTAGCTAATTGCAGTTGAATGATTAAAGGTGTGGGGAACGTTAATATTTTTACTTGTAGGTTGATATGTTTTCAATTCATCAGTTGAGCATCAAATCTTTTTTTTCTTGGTCTGTAATATGGTTTTAGTTGGTCGCATGATAGACTGGAGCGTTGTGCGTGGAATTTGAAAATCTCTGTTAAGATTATGGAATAAACAATCACCAATAAATGGATTAAAGCCAAACCTCTCAATTAAGATAACACCACTATCGAATCAAGTATATTAAAAATAATGATACATTGCTACAAATAGACTTTTAAATCAACTGACCAAGAAGGCTCAAAGTAAAATTACTTCTCATGAATACTTCTTTAATTAAAAAAAATTGAAGGGTCACACTTTAGACTGGCTTCAATTTTTTGACACTGAAGGGTGAATGAAAATGATATCCAACAATAGTTTGGGTGAAAAAGCAAAATACTGCAGTGCCTGAAACAAAACCAAATTGCTGGAACAGGGCAGGTAGAGAGAACAGTTCATGTTTCAGATCATTGATGCTTTTGCAAAGCGTAATGCATTCCTGATTGCCAGCTCATTTTTTTTAAACAATATTTTACATTTATGTAGGACATTTTTAATTAGTAAAGCGGCCCAAGGTGTCTTATCAAGCAAAATTTGACTGTACCACATAAAATGATAGATGACTAAAATATTGATCCCATAGGCATGTCTTGGAGGGAGGTGAGAGAGAGAAGGGCAAGAACATTTTGAGAGGGAATTCCACAGCTTAGGATCATGACAACTGAAAGCACTGCTTTCAGTAGTGGAGCAGTTAAAATTGGAGGTACTGTAGTTCAGAGAAGGTTCACTAGGTTGATTCCGGATGAAGGAGTTGTCATATGAGAAGAGGATAAGCTGGTTGGACCAATAGCCATTGGAATTTAAAAGAATAAGTTGTAATCTTATTGAAAAGTACAAGATTCTAAGAGGGCTGAACAACGTAGGTTCTAAAATGAATTTGTTCCATATGAGGGGATATAAAACTGGGGTCACCATTTCAAAATAAAGGTTGAGCCTATTTAAGGCTGAGCTGAAGGACAGTCTCTTCTCTCAAAGGTCATTTGTTATTCTTTAGAGTTCTCTACTCCAGAGAAACGTGGAGGTTGTTTCGCTGAATATATTCAAGGCTGAATTAAGCAGTTTATTTATTGATCTAGAAAAGTAGTTGGGTTTAATGGGAGGGAGACAGGAAAGTAGAGTTAAGATCACGATCATATCAACAACGATGCTGATGAATAGAGAAACAGGCCCAAGAGACCAAATGGCTCAATCTTCCTGTTTCCTATGATCATTACATTTTACATTGTCAAGTATGCGGAGAATTGTTTGCTTGACAGACTATTTTTTTGCCATGATCACTCATTTCGATAAAACTGTCTAGAATGATCTGTAACAAATTCTTATTGCCATAAGAAGCTACTAGTTGCAGTGAATGTACCAAAATACTACTAATGGCATCTCTCTGAAATAGCATTTACACTTTGTATGTGCAAGCTGCTTCCTAAGATAAAATTTCTATGTAAAAGCATGTTGTAAAAACTAAAACAATATCTAGTATTTTCTTGGATGCAATCCATAATGACTCTTTCTGGCTTAATTTATTTCTGAATACTTAAAGATTGCGTAAGGACATAGGGGTCAAAATGTGCCATTCTGCTAAGAATGTTTTTGTCAGACTTCTGATGTGCAAATTGCAATCAAACCAGTTTATCTTCCCTGCAGTACTACAGATTACATTAATAAATCTATCTGAGCTGACTGCAGGATTCTGCTGTGTGATATTTAATCCCTACGAAATGGCTAATGGTTTTGTACAAAGTCCCAAGATCATTGCCTGGACTGAGAACAGTTATAATTTCACTCAGTATCTAATAGTATGGTTTGTTACTTTTTTGTTTGTTCTGACATCAGAAATAGTTCACCAGAAAATTATTTCTCGGTGGGTTCAATGTGCCAAGCAGCACAATATGTAATAGTTCAGATGAGAAACATTTTTAGTTTAACACAGAAATCTGTGCCAAGTTAACAAAGCAGTGCTGAGAGTACTAAATTGCCCTTTATAACTGGGTTAAGCCTGAAGTATTTACTTAGAGTTCTTGACCTTAATCACTCAACAGTGACCTTTTGATGGAAAGTGTGTATGTGCAGGAAGAATTGGGCTCAGCTGCGAAGACCAAATAAATGAACAGCCTGCTGAAATTCAACTCGGTCACATTTGGAATGATTACTTGGCTAAGGTTTCAAAATGTTGTGATTTGCACCACAACAAATACCAGTCCAGAAAGGAAGAGAAGAATAAAGGTTATGAAATGCTAAGGTATGATGACCACTTATAACTATTCCATAGTAAGACAAGACATGAGGCCAACAGTGAGTACATATGATTATTCATATAATCTAACACAAGGTCAGTAAATATGCAACTCTAAGAAGTGCTCTAAGTTCAGCTCATTTCCAAACAGATCAAAAGAACAAGTCAAAATATTAGAAACTATATTTCAAAATAGCAACTTTTTTGTTGAGAAGATTTAAGTTTCTTAATAATTGGAAAGATTTGAGACCTACATCACTAATATATGATAAGCATGAATTTTAAAGTGCCTAGGATTGCTAACCTCCTCCTGCTGTGCAATGTTCTTACCTCTGAGCTCCTCTCATCTGACCTCATATTAGGGGAAGCATCTACCCTGCCAACCCTCCCAGAATCCTGTGTGTTTCAATAACACCACTTTTTAATCTTCTAATCTCCAGTGACTTTAGGGCCAATATAGTCACCCTTTTTTTTGTGTGATAACTCCTTAATCCCAAATATAAATCTGGAGACCCTTCTCTGAATTGCCTCCAATGCAACCGTATCTTTCTTTAAATAAGGAGACTAATACTGTATGCAGTATTGTGGGCATGGTCCTAGCAATGTTATGTACTATTGTATCAAATCTTCCCCACTTTTTTATACATCGTTTTCCCTGCTTTAAAAGCATTTGCTGTCCATTTTACTTTGCATCTGTGCTAACTTGTTAATGACTCATGTAGGGGGATTCCCTGATTGTGTACCACAACATTCTGTAGTCTTGACCTATTTAAGTAATATGTTGTTTTTCTGCTCTTCTCATCGAAGTGATATCTGAAGGTATTCAACCTGAAACGTTAACTGCATTTCTCCCTCCACAGATGTTGCCCGACCTGCTATTTCAGCATTTTAAGTTTTTATTTCACATTCCATAGTCTGCAGGATTTTGTTTTACTTTTTATGTGGAGTTCTTCTGTAATAATTTCAGTACTGTACAAGTCAGGACAAAGGACAAAAACATTCTACAATGTAGCATCTAAATGTGATTAAATGAAGGGTCAGTAATTGAATTTTATTTTTAATAGGCTTCATAAGGACGTTATTTGCAAGGATATAATTCATCAGGTGAATTTGGGATCTTGTAGATAATATTGGAAAATATTTGGTTCAAAATGCAATGTAGCAGAGATCACATTGTTAATTTTTACTGCCTTAAAGGTTCTGTGTAACCACAAATTTCTTTTTATTGAAGTACTAATATATGATGAATGTGATTTTCTATGAAACCCTTTGAATTTCTTGTACCTGACTTATAGAATCATGAACATTTACAGCACAGAATGAAGCCATTTGATATATCATGGTCACATCAGTTACGAAAGATCTGATTGCATTAATCCTGTTTTCCAGATCCTGGCCCTGGTAGCAATGGCAATGCAAATAACTGTCTAAATACTGCTTAAGTGTTACTATTACATGTTTCTGATGCAGCCATCCTTCCAGGCAGTGAGTTCCAGACATCCATCACACACTGAGTGAAAATGTTTCTCTTCTAATCTCCAGGCCTTCTAACTGTTAACTTAAATCTATGCCCCATGATTATTGATTCATTGACTAATGAAAAAATGTACCTCTTGATTCATCCTACCTGTGCCCCTCATTAGCTGATATACCTGTTATCATGTGTCTGCTCAACATTTGCTGCTGCAAAGAAAACAACACCAGCCTTTCCTTCCCTCACAGCTTAGACTTTTTAGGCCATGCCACATCCTGGTAAATCTCCTCTGCACCCTCACTAGCACAATCACAATACTCTAGTTGTGATCAAGCCAACTTTTTATACAGTATCACCATAACCTCCCTGTTCTTGTACTCTGTGCTTTGGCTGATAAAGACAAGTATCATGTATGGCTTCTTAATCACATTATCTACCGGCGCTGCTACCTTCAGGGATCATCCATTTGTACATCGAGGTCTCTATGATCTTCAGTACTTTACAAGATCCTACCATTTATATTGCAGTCCTTTGCAACTTTAGCTCTTCCTCATGCTTTTTCAGGTTGAATTTGCCACTGCTGTGGTCATCTGGCAAACCTGTTGACTTCTTCCTGTAGTTTATGGCTATCCTCTTCACTATTTACTACCCTACCAGTTTTGGGTCATCTGTGAACTTCTTGATCATACTTTCTGCATTTGAGTCCAAATCATGAATGTATGTCATAAATAGCAAGAGCTTCAGAACCGAACCCAGCAGAACCCCACTGGAATCAGGCTTTGAGTCACAGAAACATCCCTTTATCATCACCGGCATTTTCCTGTCTCTTGGCAAATTTTGGATCCAGCTTGCCATTTT